GGGGGAGAGAGAGAGAACAACGGGGGAGAGAGAGATTCAGAGAACAGCGGGAAGGAGAGAGAGAGAGAAAGAGAGAGTAGGATCAACCCCCTGCTGCTGGCAGGAGATCATCATTACTGCTGGCTCTCTGCAAATCAAGCCTGTTGAGTGGTCCGTTTGCTCTCTGAAAATCAGACCTGTTCATTGGACCGCTGGACATCTGATCGAGCCTGTTGATTTGGCATGCTGACTCTCAGCAAATCGAGTGTGTGGAATGATCTTTTCCCTTTCTGTATCCTAGAGGCAAAACAGTCAACCCTCATGATCAGGCTCAATCTACAACTGGCTCTGACCCCAAAAAAGGGGGAAGTATTCATTAAACAAAATTACTCAAGAGAATTATGATCTGATAACGCTAGACTAAAGCACTTTTGCGAGCAGGGGCAACAGATGATAATACGTCCCAACACCCTGTCGGTCGCTGAGGACCTCTGAAGCGGGCGCGGCGAGTGACAGGCGTCGTAGCCCTTGGCTTCAGTGAGCAACAGGTAGCCCTCCCCGGGTTTCCTCACAACAATTGGTGCCGTTGCCGGGGAGGGGAGCAGCACCCCCAAGGCCGCGGCCTTCCCCAACCAACGGGGGTGCACGGGCTGATTACTCAAACACTAATTACCTTTTTTTCTTGATTAGTTTTATTTTTTATAATCATTTTATTTAGTTTTTTTGAAATATCTCCCGATCCGCGCGCTTTTGCGCGAGCCGCGCCGGGAGCAAAGTTCGCCCTCTCGTCGAGGCGAATGTTTTGAGACGTTTTTTGAAAAATTCACGGTTAGAAAAAAAGATATGAATTTTTTTGTATTTTTCTAATTAAAAATCCCAAAAATCATGAGCAAAGTTCGTCCTCTCATCGAGACGAACGTTTTGAGACATTTTTTGAGAAATTCGAACGGCTAAAAAGCGAGATATGGAATTTTTTGTATTTTTTGATTAAAAATTCCAAAAATTTTGATTTGCGTTTTATTGAAGTGGACGAGAAAATAAGCGAAATTAGGGGAACCCCGCGGGGACCAAAGTTGGTCCCTGTATTTTTCCCGACATTTTGAGACCCTAGTCGGGGAAAACGGACTTCGTTTGGACAAACGGCGAGCTCCAACAGATAGAAAAGGTGGAAGAAAATCAATGGGAAATTGAATTTCTTTGTAATTTTGTTTAAATTAAAAGAAAAAGGAATTAAAAAATGTAATCCAATAAGTTTTTCTTCTAAAACTAGTGAAAGCTAACAAAAATTTTCTCGCGTCGAGCAGGCCTTTGCGGTGTTCATGCGGTTGCGCGCAAAACCCAAAACCCTAGTTAGGGGAAACCCTAATTAGGGTGAAGTCCTAAATCCAATTTTGAGAGAAGCGGGTAGATAGAGGGAAGCCATAGCTTCTAGCTTCCGCATTTGTTACGGATTATTTTTTGTCAAATATATCCCGTAAGATTGTGGAAATTAATTCGGGAAGTTTTGCCCCATTAAATAATTAAGAATTATTTTACTTTTGGTTTTGTTATTTAAAAATCGATAAAAAAAATGAAATAAATATTAAAAATTGCGAAGGGGCATTTGTAGGACTTCAATGCTCTTCATATCTACTTTACCTATTTGAGGGATTTTTTTCCGAACCCCATCTCACCGGGGGGGAAGGAAAACTGTTGTCGAAGTTTCTCGAAATTTCCCTTTTAATTTAAATTTTTGTTAATTAATTAACAAAAATATTTAAAAATCGAGTTAATTTTTTTTTTTTTTTTTCCATTATTCCTTTTGATATTACCTCTTCGGCAGCGCTGATTGAGGACTTCGCCCGAACCCCATCCCAACGGGGGGGAGTCGAAACGCTGCCGAAATTTTAGTAAATTCCCCAAATTTTATTTCTACCCCTAAAAATCATCAAACTCGGCGGGCTTATATATGTATTGATCCTTAATATATATAAACTAAGAAAGAAATTTTATCTTAACTAAATACATTTTCTTTAATTTATAATTGAAAAATACAAAAGAATTCCCTAGAAGAAGAAGGAAAAGAGACGCTGCGGTAACCTGGTTTCGGGTGAGCCTACTAGCTTGTTTCCGAAGGCGTGAGGTAAGCGAAGAGAATTTTCTGTTATTAATCTACACCTCCCTCTTGCTGCGTTCTCTCTAGCCGCCAGTTGAATGTGGCCGCGGGTGCAAGTAGAGGTCTATTGGGCTACCATTGATTGGGACTTGGAGCCCCCTGAACTCATAGAGGGGGACCTGGTCGAGCTCACGGTCCCCGGGCGCAACATTCGACACGTTGACGGCCAGTTTGCGTGGAGGTCCATAATCTTGTCCGAGGACGTGTGGCTTTGGACGTACAGAGAGCACCGGCCGGGGCAAGGAGTGGGCGTAGTGAGAGCCTACATGTATTTGGGACCAAGTGCGGTCAGGGAGACCGTGGTGGGCCTCGCGACGACAGGGACGAATGACACAGTTAGCAGGGCGTTACGCTACCTAGGGGAAGAGGTAGCTGCCTTCCGAGCGGAGGACTCGAGCGACCTGTTGACCCTATTTCACGGATGCCCTCCTCTTGATATCACGGGCGAGCTGGTGGTAGCACGGGACGGGTTTTTCCCGTACAGCGTTAGGAGCCTGTGGGCGATAGTTCCGACGTTCGTAGTAGAGAGCGTCTTTGGAGGTATTGGTGGAGTGGTCGAGACATACCTGGCCTATCAGGATCTCAAGATCCTGGGGAGAAGGCTTGCCGACCTAGACTACATCTATTATTCGCTCGCAACCGGTGGGCCTCGTTGGGGAGACGAGAGGGTTCAGCTTATAGAGCTGATCCGCTCGATAGACGACGAGTGGCCCCAGTCTCCGTGCGTTTGGGATTGGCTAGACCGTGAGCTCCGAGCAGGCCCCGAGTACGTGACCTGCATCGGGCGGCTCTTCTCAGACGACTGGGAGAGCTGGTGGGGTGAGGGCGTCGGGCGACCTCTGATATACGGCCATCAGTTGGCGCAATACTACCAGGGTATAGGACAAGCGCCATACCGCGTCGAGGACGAGTTTGACGACGAGGGTTGGGAGCGAGAGGATGACGAGGACGCTTGGGAGCCAGACTGGGTCGACCGAGAGAGTGAGGTTGACGAGGATGAGATTGACGTTACAGACGCCCATTTTCCCAGGATAGGAGTAGCAGTCCGGGCGTAGGAGGTAGAGGAGCACATTAGGGCGACGGTTGAGTGAGCTTAGCTACTGATCCTACTCGACCATACTGGACCTAAGTGCGAGAGTTGTCTGAAGGGTTAGCAACGTCGAGAGATGGGGTGCATCGGAGGGAGTAGAGTGATGCTGACCGAGAGTAGGAGAAGAGATGAGGAGTGATTCAGTGGCCTGGTTAGCTTATGTTCTCTCACGAGAGTCCGAATCGTATAGTGGGAGGAAGCTTGTGGGACCCAGAGAGACGGCGGTTGGATACGACATACCACTTCCTGTGGCGTTAGAAGAGGCAGGGCGTGTACCGATACGATACTTGGGAACGTGGCTCGCAGAGGGGCTCTTCCTTTGGATAGTGATACTACGAGACGAACGACCCGAGAGGACTCATGATCTAGAAGGGGTCGGACATCTAATAGCGGATAGAACACACGACTTAGAGATAGGACTAACGCGCGCAGGGGCGAGCAGGAGTTGGTGGAGAAGCAAGTCGTTGGCCAGAGTGATCGTTAATCAGCAATTGGCGAGACTCTCTGGAGGGAGGATGAGTTGGAGCTGCTTGGTATACGGTCCACCACATCCGACCCTCTACCCGAGAAAGGATTGGCGATTCGGACTTCCTACCTTCGTGATARGGCAGACCTATGGGAGCRTGGRTCGTTTGAGTAGAGCAGTGGACCACACACTTTACGCGCTCTGGGAGGGCTTAGCGCCCCGCTTCAAGGAAGTATACTACGCCATTTGTGTGAGGTGGGGGCCGCCCAGTAGAGAGAC